GTCGGGACTGGAGTGGGACAGAACCGGGACCGGGATCGGGGTCGGGACTGGAACCGGGACAGGAACCGGGACAGGAACCGGGACTGGGGTTGGGACCAGGACCGCGATCAGGACACAGATCTGGACCAGGATCGAGAGATGGAGCGGGACCGGGACACAGATCTGGGTCAGGACCGGGACCGGGACCAGAACCGGGACCAGGATCGGAACCGGGACCGGGACCAGGACCGGGACCAGGACCAGGAGCAGGACCGGGACCGGAACACAGATCTGGATCAGGACCAGGAGCGGGACCGGGAGTGGAACCGGGACCAGGACCAGGAGCAGGACCAGGACCGGGGCCAGGATCGGGACCGGGAGCGGAACCGGGACCAGGACCGGGACCAGGACCGGAACCGGGACCAGGACCAGGAGCAGGACCAGGAGCGGGGCCAGGATCGGGACCGGGAGCGGAACCGGGAGCTGTGCCCGAGCCCGGAGCGGCCCCGGTTCCGGCCCGGCCCCACCCGCTGGGGGATCTGCTCGGCCGGGGCCATCTGCCACGACTTCGCGCTGGCCCTGCAGACCCTGCCCCGCTCCGAGCACACGGTGACCCCAAAACCCCCCGGGACCCCTCCCCAAAACCCACGGGGGACCCCCAAAATCCACCCGAGACCCCCCCCAAAGCCCCCCGGGACCCCCCAAATAAGAGCAACCCCAAAATCCCCCGGGACCCCAAAAAATCCCCCCCAAAATCCCACCGGGAGCCTCAAAACCCACCCAGGAACCCCAAAATCTCCCCGGGACCTCCCAAAATACTCACGGAATCCCACAAATCCCTGGGACCCCCCAAAATCCCCCTGGGGAGCCCCCAGAAACCTGAGCGCACCCCCAAAATCCGTGGGATCCCCCAAAACCCGGGCGTGTCCCCAAAATCCCTGGGTGTGTCCCCCAAACCTGGGCGTGTCCCCCAGACCTGGGCGTGTCCCCGAAACCCCCGCGATTTCGGGGTGTTCCCTGGGATTTTGGGGTGCCCCGGGTGGGATTTTGGGGTTTCCCCGGGAATTTTGGGGGTCCCCTGGGTGGGATTTTGGGTTTTTTTGGGGGGATTTTGGGGGTTTCACAGGGGATTTCGGGGTCCCCCGGAATTTCGGGGGTTCCCGGCTGGGATTTTGGGTTTTTTTGGGGGGATTTTTGGGTTTCCCCGGGGATTTCAGGGTCCCCCGGGGTTTTGGGGTTTCCCTGGGATTTTGGGTTCCCCCGGGAATTTTGGGGGTCCCCTGGGTGGGATTTTGGGTTTTTTGGGGGGGATTGCGGGGTGCCCCGGTTCGGGGGTTCCCGGCTGGGATTTTGGGTTTTTTGGGGGGGATTTCGGGGTGCCCCGGGGATTTCAGGGTCCCCCGGGGTTTTGGGGTTCCCCCGGGAATTTTGGGGGTCCCCTGGGTGGGATTTTGGGTTTTTTTGGGGGATTTCGGGGTGCCCGGGTTCGGGGGTTCCCGGCTGGGATTTTGGGTTTTTTGGGAGGATTTCGGGGTCCCCCGGGATTTCGGGGGTTCCCGGCTGGGATTTTGGGGTTTTGGGGGGGATTTCGGGGTGCCCGGGTTCGGGGGTTCCCGGCTGGGATTTTGGGGATTTTTTGGGGGATTTCGGGGTGCCCCTGACCCCGGTGACCCCCAGGTGGCCGCGGTGGCCGCGCGGGATTTGGGGCGCGCCGAGGCCTTCGCGCGGCGTTTCGGGGTGCCCCGGGCGTACGGGTCCTACGAGGAGCTGGCCCGGGACCCCGACATTGGTCAGTCGGGATTTTGGGGGGATTTTGGGGGATTTTGGGGTTTTTGGGGGGGATTCCGAGTTTTTGTGGGGGAGATTTTGGGGTTTTTTGGGAGGATTTGGGGTTTTTGGGGGGAATATTGCGATTTTTTTGGGTTTTTTTTGTGGATGTTCGGTGCTCCCCCATGGGTTTTTTTTTTTTTTTTCAGAGGATTTGAGGTTTTTATGGGGAATTCTGGTGGTTTTTTGGGGATTTTTGGGTTTTTTTCGGGATTTTTGTGGTTTTTTTGGGGATTTTTGGGTTTTTTGGGATCGGGTTTTTTTTGGGGGGTCCCGGTGTCAGTTTTTGGGGTGCCCCCGCAGACGTGGTGTACGTGGGCACGGTGAACCCCGCTCACCTGCCCCTGGGGCTGCTCTTCCTGCGCCGCGGCCGCCCGGTGCTGATGGAGAAGCCGATGGCGCTCGGCGCCCGCGAGGTCGCGCGGCTCGTGGGGACGGCGAGGGACAAGGGGGTCTTCCTCATGGAGGTGGGACCCCCAGAGACCCCCCAGTGACCCCCAGAGACCCCCAGAGACCCCCCAGTGACCCCCAGAGACCCCCAGAGACCGGTGCCCCCGCAGACGTGGTGTACGTGGGCACGGTGAACCCCGCTCACCTGCCCCGGGGGCTGCTCTTCTGTGGGGTTTTATTGGTTTTTTATTGGGTTTTTATTGGTTTTTTTTGTGTTTTTATTGGTTTTTTTGGGGATTTTTGGGTTTTTTGGGATCGGGTTTTTTTTGGGGTGTCCCTGTGTCAGTTCTTGGGGTGCCCCCGCAGACGTGGTGTACGTGGGCACGGTGAACCCCGCTCACCTGCCCCGGGGGCTGCTCTTCTGTGGGGTTTTATTGGTTTTTTATTGGGTTTTTATTGGTTTTTTTTGTGTTTTTATGGGGTTTTTTTTGGATTTTTGGGTTTTTTTGGATCGGGGTTTTCTTGGGGGGTCCCGGTGTCAGTTTTTGGGGGGCCCCCGCAGACGTGGTGTACGTGGGCACGGTGAACCGCTGTGTTTGTGGGGTTTTTATGGGGTTTTTTTTGGATTTTTGGGTTTTTTTTGTGTTTTTATGGGGTTTTTTTTGGATTTTTGGGTTTTTTTGGATCGGGGTTTTCTTGGGGGGTCCCGGTGTCAGTTTTTGGGGGGCCCCCGCAGACGTGGTGTACGTGGGCACGGTGAACCGCTGTGTTTGTGGGGTTTTTATGGGGTTTTTTTGGGTTTT